CTAAAACGCCTCGTTTAAACCCCCCCCCACTGCTCTACGTCACGATGTGGGAAGATTTGCATAACGCCGCCCAAATGTTCACGCAAAGAAAGACGTAAGGCGTAACTTTTATTCTCGCTGTTGCCGCCGCTGCCATGTTGTGGAGTCGCTGTGTGTTTCGATGTGAAAGCGAAACTACTTTGTTTAAACAATAATGTACATTATATGGAAAATAATGTGTTTTTTTAACCTTAAACCGCATAAACACATTGCATTACACCAAATACACAAAATAATGTTCTTTTTAACAACGTCATAAGACCCCTTTAAAACATGAGATTTTTTATTTAAAAAATTTTTAAGAAATATTTCTTATTATCAATGTTGAAAACACATGTGATTTTTTGCTGCTTCTTTCATGAATTGAAATTTTAAATGAACAGCATTTATTTGACAAAGAAATATTCCGTAACATTATAAATGTCTTTACTGTCAATTTGGATCCATTTAATGCCTTCATGATGAATAAAAGTAGTTTCTATTAAAAAAAATACTGACCCTAAACATTAAAATGGTAGTGTGCATATACAATAAATTATTATTAGTATTAAATAGCAATTGATTAATGTGTAAAAAGTTAAGAACTATATGAATTGTAATTACTAATGGTTTTAACCAGACAAAACAAATAGACCATGCTTATAGTTGAATATAGTGGAAAAAATATTATTCATCTCTTGCAAAGTATACATAGAAAAACTAGGGATAGGGAGTTTCTCCTCGCCATTGTCGCCATGGTAGATTGTTCAGTGGGAGTTGTAATATTCTCTGAAAAGCTGCTTTAAAGGGGTCATATGATGCTATTTTAAAGATCATTATTTTGTGTATTTGGTGTAACAGAATATGTTGACATGCTTTAATGTTCAAAAAACACATTATTTTTCAAATACTGTATCTTATCTATGCACAATCAGCTTGTAACACTCCAAAGAGAAAGGAAAACTTGAAATCGCATCATATGACCCCTTTAAAACAATATTTATTGTAAGTCAATAAAAATAAAATAATAGAAATACAAATACATTTTAATTGATTTTTCTTCTATTCAAATGTATAAATCAGTGCACACAATATTTTCCAGCTAATATTTTAGTATAGTGGCTTTAGGACAAATACAAGATAAATGCCAGTTATTTAATATCTGAGCATGTTGACTTTATAATATCACATTTACAGCATTTGATTTCTAACACAGTATAATTGGTTTGTTTTGAAATATGTATAGTTTTGTTTATATTTTATAGAGGAGGTCCTTCACAAAGGGAACGTAATTTAGAGGTTTATTCACAAATAACATTTAAATAAAACACCTGTTATATAAGGTAAGTTAAAGCTGCAGTCCGTAAGTTTTGCCTCTTTGTCGCCATCTCTGTTTGAAAACCTGGAATTGCAGCTGTGTGCGGAATTATCTAGCTTGCATGGATTGTGAGTCGGCACGGCTCCAGCACGGATGAATCTAATGTTCTGAAGAGTATGTGTGGCAGTCAGGTGTGGATATTTACTGTACTTCACAATCACAGATTCTAGCCTACGTCTTGGAATATGAATTTTCACTGTATATAGCCATCTGAACATATATATATATATATATATATGTACACACACTAGTATTTTCACTAGCTAATCTACTCACACTAGTATTTTCACTAGCTAAAAATGGTTTTAAGTCTATTATTTATATCAGGTAGGTTTCTTGAAGCATCTTGGAGACGTTGCCACAGTTCTTCTGGATTGAGTCTGTCTCAGTTTGTTCTGTTTCTTCATGTCATTCCAGACAGACTGGATGATGATGAGATCAGATCTCTGTGTGGAGCACTGGCTGTTATTAGACTCCTTGTGCAAACAAAAATCTCACTGGATTATTATAATTAATAGCAAAATGAATGTTTGGAAATGTGAACTGATATTTCCTATTGACACACTACAGCAAAAGATAGAAATAACGGACTTTTAATAATGGCTGTTTAAAATACTAGTGTTCTAATAATTTTGGCCACCACTGCGTGTATACAGTATATTAGTAATCTTGTGTATAAAAAAATTATTTCCAGATGGCTCACATGAAATATAGATCCTCAAAAATGCATACATACACATATAATAATTACTAAATATAATAAATAAGTAATCCTAAATAAATATAAACCACCTATAAGCATGAATTTAAGTATATAAATAAAGCACACACACACACACATACAATTACTTACATATTGCACATATTATTTAGCAATATAAAATATTAATATACAATATGTTTATCCTCATAAAATCACAAAACATTTTTCTGTTTAATAGAGGTGTCAGTATCTGCTTTATTGGACAGTACTTGTTGTCAGAT